CCCCTGCGACGTGGGTTCCGACACTGGTCTAGCTTCCTGCAATCCACACATGGTCGGTTGTTTCTCGCACAAACACAATTTGTGCAGTTTTGGTTCGGGCTAGCACAGACGCAGCAAAGAAGGTTACCAGGCATTGTGAACAGCACCTTGGGCGACAATTACGTCCGCCTCCGAACATCTGATTTGGTCCCAGGCACAATATTAAACTGGTTCTTATGAGGGAAGGGCGGAGAGGTGACAGGCTGGACTGCTGTGTCCAGGTAGTAGGGGCATACGTGCGCGAGTGGGTGTGTAGGCTACCTCCCCCCCCCCCACCTAAGGGCGACCATCCATCCGTCAGAATGATACACTATGGACAAGAATTTGTCACACCAAGCACTTGTTTATAAATCCTTGGCACAAATAACCACTATTTATATGGTCTCACTGGTGTAATATCAGTTATATATACTCACTTGGTTCGTCGAAACCATACATGAGGTGTCCGTTACTATGGTGGGGAGGCGACCGCATAGGCAGCACTCTCGGCCCCATAGGGGCGAGAGTCTCGAGACCACCCTGTCAAAGTAGGCCTATCGACACTGACCTTGGCTCCGAGCCTTTGCATTATTCCACCGACCCAGCACCGCCAGGTCACCACTCGCTCGGTGATCGCCGGTGAACACACGGAATATTTACAATTTATGCTGTAAGGGATGAGAGGAAACCTTGGGTGGCAATGCTTAGGGTGACATCCGATATTCACCAACACATTGTTAAATTCCCGCTCCCACACAGCGAGTATGTCCCCACCAATAACCCATTAGATCAGGGGGGACGTTCCATGACACCCACGCCACGCCACGCCACACTACTACTACTACTACTACTACTACTACTACTACTTTGCTGTCACTCGGAATCGAGTATGACGATCATCCTGCTATGAGTTCTAAGGTGACTAAAGAGGCCGATACGGGACCGGCAGTGTCAATCACAGATGTTGCACATGTGGAGGGCTACATCTACTGCGGGAGGGGCGGCGGCAGCATCTTCCCGGCTTTGGCGCTTGTCTGCCTCGTTATGCAGCCGGGCTAACTCGAAAGTATTGACACCATCTTGTGTGGTGCTCCTCCAAGCGATACGGTGTGGAGTAATCGTCTCCCAGGTGAGGGGGTCGATTTGGCACTTTTTCAGGTTTGTTTTAAGACTATCCTTATACCTTTTCAGTTGCCCGCCAGCATTACGTTTACTATTCGTTAGGTGACTGTAAAGTAGCTGCTTTGGCAGTCCATGCGGGTAACATGGCCTGTCCAGAGTAGTTGTTTATGGATAGTGGGAGCCTAAATGCTTCTCCAGTTGGTGTCAGCAAGAATAATGGCATTTGTTCTCTTGTCTTCCCAGGGAACTCGAAAGATGAGACGTAGACTACGTTGGTGAAAGTTTTCAAGTGCCTTGAGGTACCTCTTGTATGTGACCAATGTCTCACTGTTATATAGCAGGGTGGGGAGGACCACTGCTCCATATATGTGTAACTATGTAGATAATTTCAACTCCCTGCAGCTGAAGACACGGTTTTGGAGTTTGCCAAAGGCTTGAGATGTACATCTGATCTGATGCTGAATCTCATCATCATTATTTGCGGTGGTGGACAGGTGGGAGCCGAGATACCGAAAGTGGGCAACATTAGAGAGGGTAGTACAATTAAGCTGGATGGATGGTGGAGGTGTGTCTGAATCAGGGGCAGGCTGAAAAAGAATCTGAGTCTTACGTACATTCACCTCAAGGCCAAAATGTTTATACGCATCTGTGTAGGTGTTCAGGATTTTCTGTAGGCCGCGTTCAGTGTGAGCGACAAGGGTGAGGTCATCTGCATACTGAAGCTCAGTAATGGAAACTGCCGACACCTTTGTTCCTGCCTGGAGTCGTCCTTTGTTGAAAAGACCCTTCATCCGGTACTCGATGTCCACTCAACCGGAATGCAGCCAAGAAAATAGAAAAGAGAGTTGGTTCCAGTACACACCCTTGTTCCCCGGTTTGGATGGGGAAGAACTCAGACTGGGTGTCGTTGTGCAGGAAACTGCTATTCATGCCATTTTTGGAGTTGCCTCACAATGGCGATGAATTTTGGTGGGCAGCCAAAACGGCTGAGGGTCCACCAGAAGGTTTCCCTGTTGACGGAGCCGAAGGCCTTGGTTAGGTTGATGAAAGCCATGTAGAGGCCACGACGCTGTTCTCTGAACTTTTCCTGTGTCTGATGGGCAGCAAAGATCATGTCAGTCGTGCAACGTGATGGTCTAAAGCCACATTGAGATTTGGGGGGGAAGTTTTCCTCCTCAGGAAGAAGTCTGCTTAGGAGGACTCAGGCGATAATCTTGCCAGCTACGGACAGCAGCGAGATCCCGCGGTAGTTGCACAGTCTGACTGGTCTCCCTTGTTCTTATACAGTAAATATTGACGATGGAGGCGTCTTTAAGAGCATGGGGGATTTCCTACTTTTCCCATACATTTTCCAGGAGAGAGTGGAGACGGCTGGTAAGCAGAAGTCCTTCTGCTTTATGCACCTCGGTTGGGATTCCATCAGACCCTGAGGCCTTGTTATTTTTCATCTGTTTGATGGCAATAGCTACCTCATTTAGGGATGGAGGATAGCTGAGGTGGGTCAGCTCTGGATGCTGAGGGACCTGTTGGGTAGTCAGGACAGCCACATCGGCGTTTCGGTTGATCAGTGAATTGTAGTGCCATTTCCAGTGCTGAGGGAGGCCTTCATCGCCTTTAATTAAGGAGTTACAGTCGGATGAGCGGAGTGGGGCTGCGCCGCGAGTGATTGGCCCATAAAATATTTTAGTGGAATTGAAAAATTCGTGCATCTTGTGTTGATCTGCAAATTTTTTGTGTTTCAAAATGCTTTATTTTTAAACCAGTTATTCTTTAGATTGCAACGTTCCCGCTGGGCCACAGCTTTCTTCTTGTGGAAGGTATCAGCTTTGGTCCAAGAGCAAAGGTTGTTCTGCCAGTCAGTTAAAGCAACACGTTTACCATCGACGAGTACATTGATTGCTGGGTCATTTTCATCAAACCAGTCCTGGTGTATCCTTTCGATCTGGCCGAGGGTCTCTCTGCAGGTTTTTGTTGTGACAGTGTTGAGAATATCCCATTCGGCACTGGGATTTGAGTTGTTCATTGTCAGGTTGTTTATCAGCCCATGTTCGAACTGCTCTCTGAAAGCATGTGCTACTGCTGGATCCTCTAGAAGCGTAGTGTTAAAACCTCTTCTAGAGGCTTATTGCCTTCGCCGTTTTGGGGCGACGTGAAGTGAGAGCTTGGGTCTGACGAGCCAATAATCAGTATCTCAGTGGCCTGAGCCATGCACGGCACATGTGATGAGGACATCTCGGTGATTTCTTTCTCTGACAACGATGTAGTTAATGAGATGCCAGTGTTTAAATCGAGGGTGTTGCCACGAACCCTTGAACTTGTCGGCCTGCCTAAAAATGGTATTGGTGATAGTGAAGTTGTGTGCAGCACACTTGCTGAGGAGGAGTAGACCGTTGAGATTGCACTTGTCTAGTCCATTTTTTCCATTTGATTTCCTGCCAAATGTCAGCATCTCTGCTAACTCTGGCATTGAAGTCTCCAAGGAGCACTACCTTATCTTCTGTGGGGATAGAGGTTAGCACTCAGTCGGGGTCAGCATAAAAGGCCTCCTTGATGTCATCCTCTGCATTCAGTGTTTGGGCGTATGCACTTATGAAAAAGGCATGACATGAGTAATTCAGTGGGACTTGGAGCGTCATGAGGCGTTCGCTGATCCCATTAGGCATTTCAGTTACCCTGTGTAGGATGTGTTGGCGGATGACAAAGCCAACTCCATAAATGCGGTTTCTCTCTGCAGCAGGCTTACCCTTCCAAAAGAAGGTATAGCCAGACCCCCGTTCTGTGAGTTGATCCTCGTCTGGGAGCCGGGACTCACTAATGTCAGCTATGTCGATGTTAAACCTAGCAGCTATTTTGTCACAAGGGCGGTTCTTCTTTCAGGACACACACACACACACACACACATTGGTACTTGCACACTTAATAATTATGCAAAGTGAATTAGTCATTATAAGTTTTAAATTGAATAATTAATTTTACTTGGAATTCAATAAAAGTAACAAGGTTTACCGAATTCCACGCAAAATAAAACTCGTTTCATCAATCAGTTTTTGGCTAAATTAAAAAGAAAATGGTGTCAGATAAATTTACTCACATGTCATTTTGGCTACGTTTTACTGCCTGTCATTTGTCATTTACTAGAAGAAAACTGGCGGCTTGTTTCTCTTTTTTCTGTTCCGTCAATTTCTTCCACGACTTGTACACACGAGAACATAAAGGTGAAATTTGTCTGTGTGGGACTCAGATGACCTGAGCAGTCCTGACACCAAGACACAACAGGTGATGGTATGAAAGTAGTATTCTTATATCTCTCTCTCTCTCTCTCGCTCTCTCGCCTATCTTTTTTTTTATCTCGTCTTTCCATTTTCCAACTTTAAACCCTCTTCCTCACCTCCTTTCTCCCTCTCTTTCTCACCCCTCCCTCTTTCTCATCCCTCCCTCTTCCTCCTTACTCCTCTCCCTCCCCACTTTCTCACCCCTCTCCCATCTCCCTCTCACTTTCACCCATCTCCCTCTCATCCTTCTCCCTCCCCACTTTCTCAGCCCTCTCCCCCACTTTCCCACCCCTTTCCTTCCCCACTTCTCACCCTCTCCCTCCCTCCCCTTTCTCATCCCTCTCCCCACTTTCTTACCCTTCTCCCCTCTCCCCCCCTCCCTCTTCTCCTCTTTTCCACCTCCCTTCCTCCTCCTCACCATCTCCCTCCCCCTTCCTCCTCACCACCTCCCTCCCCCTTTCCTCTCCCTCTCCACCTTTCCTCCCCCTCTCCTCCTTTCCTGCTCCTCTCCTCCTCCTCCCCTCTCCCTCTCACTTCTCTCTTTCTCACCCTGGTCTCTCCCCACTTTCTCACCCCTCACCCCCTCACCGTGGTCAGGGTGTAGAGTGGCAGCACCAAACTCCGCCGCCTTGGCCAGTCTCGTCCTGTTGGGGTCGACGCAGTAGACCTTGGCGTAGCCCGCCTCTCTCAGGAGAGCTATACAGTAAACACCCAGCATCCCTGCGCCCTGGAGGAGGAGAAAATGTAAGCTTATCTTCCGAAGGAGGAGCAGGTTAGGTTTAAGGAGGAACAGGGGAGGATTACAAGGAGCTGCTCTGAAGGATTTATTTTTTTATTTTTTTTATTTTTTTTTTTACTGGGATTAGCCCACCCGGGCACAGGTCACTGACCCACATCGGGGCCTGGGGGACGAAAATGTAATAATAATAATAACAATAATAATAATAATTAGTTAATAGTAAATAAAATTTATAATAAAAAAAAAAATAATAAAAATAAAATAACAATAACAATATTAATAATAATAACAACACTGAAAATAATAATAATAATAATAATAATAATAATAATAATAATAATAATAATAAAGAACCATAAGGAAATTAGAAAAAAATCAATATTGAGAAACAATAAATGTATGTTGTGTTGTCAAAGCAAGAAAAACAATTGAGACCCTGCAATTGTGTGTAAATGAGGCAGAAAATCAGATCAGCAACCTGGGACTTGGTCACAATTTTTGTTATGCCATATGGCAGCAGGGTCTACCATTAGACAACACATTATGCTTCCTATGTTCAATAGCTAGTCAGGTTAGGTTAGGTTAAGGTAGTGACTATAGGTTAGGCTAGGATAATGTAAGTTAGTGGGGCTAGATTAGGTTAGTGGTAGTTACGTTGGGTTAAGTTAGGATAATGTAAGTTAGATTAGGTCAGGAAAGCTGGTGTAGGAGTGAGGAGCTCCTTGATAAGTTCAAGGCAGTTATTGACTGGATTAGAAGGAAGGGAAGGATCCTTACCATATGTGGTGTCCTGCCTAGGAGTGTTGCAATGAATGATTGTCAAGGGAAGTTGGTGTCAACGGCCGGCTTGACAAGTATCGCAAATCATTACCAGTCTCATTCATTGACAACTGGGACATTTTCTACGGCAGAAGGAACCTTAATGCTTGGGATGGGTACATTTATTTAAGGATGGGGTGGCAACCCTGGCTGGCTCTGTAGAGAAGGCAGTTCAAACGATGTCGAAGCCTTTAAACTGCTAGAGGAGTATGTGAGCAAGGGGATCGAGGAGACTGCAGTGGGCACGGGTAAACAAAGTGAAAGGTTACAGAGAAATAGTGCTAAGAATGATGATAAAGCTAAATTACAAGGGAGTCAAAACCGAAAAGCGACAAAGGGAGGACTCAGATCATTACTAACTTAAATGTCTACTAAACAAACAGAAGAAGCATTAGAAATAAAATTGATAAAATTAGGGCGTTGGTATGTACTGAAAAAATTCGATATAATAGCAATCACCGAAACATGGACGAACTTGAGTAACCTATCGAATACCAAATTAAAGGTTAAACAAAAATTTCACACCGATAGGCAGATTTGGAAAGGAGGCAATCTATGGCAGGGATAATTTGAAGTGTGAAATTAATAAGGAAATAAAAACTGAACTGAGTACAGAAAAAATTTGGATAGAATTAACCGATGGTAGAGAAAAAATAATCATAGGAGTATAATGTTGACCTCCTAATCTTCAGAGTTAATGAGCGACTTATTTGGGATGAGATGGTCAGGGCTTCCAGACATAGCAAAGTCTGTACAGTAGGCGACTTTAGCTTTAGTTAAATACCTGTAGATTGGACTGACCTTACACATAAACCAGAATCAGAGGATTTTCTTGAACATAAGCACATAAGAGCAGAGGAAACTGCAGCGGACCTATTGGCCCATACTAGGCAGTCCCGTTTACACCCAACCCCTAGCGCTCAAATGTCCGTCCAACATATATTTGAAGGTGTCTAGCGTGTTCAAGTTAATGATGAAGTTTGGTAACTTGTTCCACTCATCCACTACTCTATTTTCAAACTAGTGTTTACCTATTAGGCGCATAAATCTAAATTTGTCTAATTTAAAAGCATTGCTACAAGTTCGCTCCTGGTTGGATAGTTTGAGTACATTTGTTATATCACCTTTGTTTAACCCCGACTTCCATTTTCCACTCAATCACATTGCTTCTCACTCTACGTCTCTCGAGGGAGTGCAAATTAAGATGCTTTAATCTGTCTCTGTACTCAAAGTTCCTAATGCCCGGGATTAGTCTTGTCATTTTCCTCTGAATTCTTTCTAGGGTTTCTATATACATTCTGTAATACGGTGACCAGAACTGAACTGAACTGAACTGCACAATCCAAGTGAGGTCTCACAAGCGCAAGATATAATTTTAGGATAACCTCGCTAGTCTTGTAACTGACACTTCTTTGTATGAACCCAAGTACTTTGTTAGCCATGTTTCGAGCAAATACACTTAGTTGCTTTGGTTTAAGATTCCTACTTATCGTAAATCCCAAATCTTTCTAACAGTCGGATTTTTCTATAACGAGATATGACGTTGACGATTTCCATAACAAATTAAATAAAGAGTTACTTAATGCACAAAGGCAGAATATACCATACAGAAAACTCAGATCAAATAAGAATAACCCCAAATGGAAAAATATTTTTTTATAGAATATTATTGGAAAAAGGAAGGCTATAGGTAGGAGAATAAATCGTGGTGAAGTTTACCGCCGGTAGTATTATTAAGTATTGGCCAGACAGAGATAGGAAAAGCAAAGAGAAACAATGAGCTGAAGGTAGCAAGGGAGGCGAAGCCAAACCCTAAGGGATTCTTTCAAATGTATCAAACTAAAACTTGAGACAAGATTGGACCAATACAGTCAGATACCAGTGAACTAACTGAAAACAACGAAGAAATGAGAAATAATCTGAAAAGATATGTTTCATCAGTTTTCACAACTGAAAATTTAAGCATTTTACTCGAGGCACCAACGATATACAGAGATAGTAAAGAAAACTGATTAAGCGAGATAGTAATGACTAGTAACGATGTTTGTTTACTAACATCGTTACTAGTCACTAAACCCTAATAAGTCGTTAAGTGCCGACGAGCTATTTGCGAGTATATTAAAGGAAAGCAAGGAAGAACTTAGAAAACTTGTTTAACATGTCATTAAAAACCGGTGTAGTACCAGAATCCTGGAGGATAGCGAATGTGATACCGATTTTCAAGAAAGGAGATAGATTACTATCCTCTAACTACTTGCCAATTAGTTTAACATTAATTGTAGGCAAATTACTGGAAGCAATAATAAGAACACAAGAACATAAGATTGGAGAAAACTGCAGCGAGCTTATTGACCAGGGATAAGTCTTGTCATTCTCCTCTGAATTCTCTCTAGGGATACTATATCCATTTTTGAAGTACGGTGACCAGAACTGAACCGCGTAATCCAAATGAGGTCTCAGAAGCATCAGATATAGTTTTAAGGTAACCTGGCTAGTCTTGTAATTAACACTCCTTTGTATGAACCCAAGTTCATTGTTAGCCTTGTAGCCTTGTTCCGAGCAAACACACATGGTTGTGTTAGTTTAAGATTCCTACTTATCATTTCTCATAAGTCTTTCTCACAGTCGGAATTCTCTATAACAACGCTGTTCATCTGATATCTGGTTTCTATATTTACATCCACATTAAATTTCATCTGCCATTTTCAGACCATGCCAAAAAATTTTTTTTTTAGGTCTTCCTGTAGTTTTGCAGAGTCCTCGTCAGATTTAATTACACACCTCATTTAAGTGTCATCAGAAAATTTACTTATCTTGCTGTCTACGCCGATATCTATGTCGTTTATGTATATAATAAATAGTAATGGTCCAAATACTGAGCCTTGGGGTACCCCACTAGTGACTTTGCCCCAATCAGATTTAGGGCCGTTAATGCTTACTCGTTGTTTCCTGTCCTTTAACCACGCCCTAATACATTTTAGAATATTTCCTCAAATTCCACGAGCCTCCACTTTTCGTATTAGTATCACATAATCGTGATAATCATCCACTGATTCGAAAACAATTGAAAAGAATGTTAATAGATTAGTTAGACATAAAAGCCCACTTGTGAAGCCATGTTGGGAATCATTTATCAATCTGTGCCTCTCCAGTTGATTTCAAATAGAGTTTAAAATTATTGCTTCAAGCAACTTGTCTACAATTGATGTTAAACTGATTGGACGGTAGTTAGAGGGTGGTGATCTATCTTCCTTTTTGAAAAGCAGTATCACATTCGCTGTCCTCCAAAATTCTGGTACAACACCCATTTTTAATGCCATGTTAAACAAATTTGCTGAGGGCATACTAAGCTCTTCCTTAAATCCCATTAATATTCTGGCAAATATCTCATCAGGCCTTGGTGAGTTATTAGGCTTTAGTTTGTATATTTGTTTATTAACATCGGTACTAATCACTACTATCTCGCTTAATCTATTTTCTTCACTATCTCTGTATATCGTCGGTGCCTCGGGTATCATGTTTAAATTTGCGATGGTGAAAACTGTTGAAAAATATCTGTTCAGATTATTGCTCATTTCTCCATCATTATCTGTTAGCTCGCCGGTATCTGACTGTATTGGTCCAATGTTGTCTCATATTTTAGTTTGATACATTTGGAAGTATCCCTTGGGGGTTTGACTTCTCCTCCACTTGCTACCTTCAGTTCATTATTCCTCTTTGCTTTTCTTATCTCGGTCTTAACCCTACTGGCCAATACCTTATAATAATCTCGGAGGTAAACATAACCATGATTTATTTTCCTACCTATAGCCTTCCTTTGTCCAATACTATTCTTTAAAAACGTATTTATCCATTTGGGGTCATTGTTATTTGATCTGTGTTTTCTGTATGGTAACTCATCATTTAATTTGTTGTTGAACTCGTCAACCTCAGATCTCGTAATCGGGTCATCCTCAACCTCCATATTTTGTGAGGCTGTCGTTGTCAAGTCACCAGGTAAAGTGAGGTCGCCCTCTGAGGGTACATTGTCACCTCACGTGAGGTAGTGTAATTCACCCCTGTACGTAATACCCCTTCTCTCAGCTGCCTTTTCAACCTATCAAAGTTTGCCTTTCTGAAATCTGGGACTTTAATGGAATTTTCCTTGCATCTGACATTAAGTCCTACTA